TTGTTTAAGATTTGAGTAAGAAGCAACCTCTAGAATCTTTACAATTACAGTAACAAATACACAATGACGAACTTTGATTACTAGTGCAAATGGAAATCTCTTAAACTGGACTAATTATATTTAGTTTTTAAAAATTTATCTGAGTATTCCTGATTCTTGATGAAAAATAAGAAGTTTCAAAGTTCACCATCACCTTAAACTTGAGTGAGGGTGAAGTGAACAGTGAAAACAAATATAACTTCTGACAATGTAGCATTGCAGAACAAGCGCGCGCTGAAGTAGCCAGGTTGTCAGCACGAATCAGAGGATTGAGTTCGAGTTAAGGGTTTTATGGGTAGAGTACTGATTTGAGATATGCGTAAGTCAACATCTCCCTCCATCACCAGATTTTACAGTATAAATTTTGAGAGATTTACTCTTAGCGATTGTTAATTTGTACCCGAATATCTCTCCCACCAGAGTTTGAGGCGCTACAGCTGATTTCAGCATATGGGTGTACTGAGGTCTCTATTTCTACGACGTGGCTTTGGTATCCGGCGGTGTTGACATTACCTTCTTTTAAAAGAAGATTGTTCCTTCGCGATAAAAGCACGAAATTTAAGGGAACTTTGATAAGCTGATGCGAAACCCGGCAGTGAACAGTTATAAAAAATGTAAGCAAAAACAAAATAGAACAATTTTTTTTTCTAGACCTCTTGAAAAGATGGGCGGTATTCGTTATGTCATTTTACAGCACGAAAACAATTTCTACCAGTCAGCTTATCGTTCCAAATGGAAACGTGACATCTTGCTTGCACAAGTAAGTGACATTTACAAGTCACCGTATGCTAAATCTAGGTTTTTAATTACTTTTTCTTTAGAAAGCCGCACAGGGTTCAAAATGAGTTTAAATTGTACATAGCCTTTTGGGTTTTTGAAATTCTAATCTTTTCTTTAAATATGAACAATATCTAATTATTTTGGCACATTTTAACTCTTTTCTTCATATCCTGCAAGTCAGAATAAGAATAAAAGCAATTACTGAAGTTAACATTAGTTATGTTTTTTGAAAGGAAATCGACCACCCACTATTCATAGAACATAAATACTCAAGTTATTAAAGAGAAATAGGGATATATTTCTGAACAGCTGCAAGCTGGCTGTTGTCTTGAGCTTTACGGTCATCGACCCGCTTAAAAGACTCCGGTATAGACGTTCACTTTGATACTTTTTCTCTTCCGCTTTTACAAACAATGTCACGAGTACATAACTTTGAGCTTGAGGACATTCAGTCAGTAGGGTCTTTCGTAAACGAAAGTCAATCGATCGAGTCACGAATAGAGAAGGACAATCGCGAAGATTTATCTTGCAAAATTCGTCCCATTCTGCGGTTAATGAAACTATTCGGAGAATACTATGGGGATATTTCAATGGATGAAGGGGTGCAGTCGGACTCCAGCTTCTTTTCTCGTTTTTACTGTGGGATGGTATTGATCAGTCAGTGGTTTCTTGTGGTACAAGCTTCCACCAGCCTTTTCTTTGAAGGCCTAAGGGAGATGAAGACATTTTACTTTTTATTGATCTTCACCATTTGGTATGTCCAATGTGCGGCATTTACCACGATCAGCCTCATTAATTTGCCCAAAAGGCGAGCAGAGTCGTCTCGCTTTAGACGATTTTTCGACAGCTTACTATCAACAACATCTGATTTCAGTGGAAAGACGACACATAAAGTGTATTTAACACTGACGTTTGCTTGCACCTTCGCTTTTCTCAATACTGTTTTGCTTTTGATGCTAGATTTTTACGAAAATGTCTCGGTAGCCCGTTTCCGACCATGGAATGGATTAATTACATTTCGTTGGATTCAGTTAACGTTTTCTGGTTTTGGCGCCCTCGCATGGGGATTAGCATGTACATTGTTTTATGTCTCATGCGAATTTTTGGTCCAAATATTTGACAATTTGGAGAAAAAAGTTTCAACAGAGAGTCCCAATGTCCCCAATATTCGATCTCTGAGATTGGAACACGGTAAACTCTGCGAAATAGTTACTCTCGCCGACAAAGTATTCTCACCTCTGATTTTGTTGACAGTTATTTTGGACGTCCCCTTGATGTGCATCAATTTCCACCAGCTCGTGAGATCTCCATTTTCTAGCGACAAAAACATCATATTTATTGTTAATGTTTCGTACTGGTGCATTTGTCTCACGGTTAAGTTAGCCTTTGTCATGTGGTCTGGGGTAAAAGTCAATGAGAAGGTGAGTTGCGCATCCTCCTGCCATTAAGAAGGAAGGAAGGAGCTTAGGTAGTGTGTTGGACTCCAGATTAAGTCTAGATCTGGGTCATTCTCAATTTTATATTCATTTTAGGAGAAACCATAATTATGCAATTTATTAAACTTTTTCCGCCTAGATTCATAGCCTTTATGACACCCTGCAGAACATTGATGTTGCTGACTGTAAAGAGCATTTGGAGGTTAGTTTACTTTTTATATTTCGGAAGAAAATGTTGTTATTTCAATTTTGTAATAATAATATATATATTTTTTTTATGTTAGCAGGGGATTGTTTTGGTATGAATCGAGACATTGCTTACGCATGAGTAGATAAGTTACAGAATAATGCCAGTATTAAAGTCAGCTGATTATTGTAACGGGCAAAAGTAGGAAGCAATCACTCTCTTTCAAATGGCATGATGCACATTTGTCTTCAGTTTTATAAATAAACACCAAAAACAAATAACAAAATTGAATTAGACGCCCATCAAGCAGATCGATAGTTCGGTTTGAAAGTCCTCCACCTCTGTCTTCAGAGAGGTGCAAAATCCTCTATAAACAGGAGAGTATTTCCTTTTATTTTAGCTGCTGCATTTCCTGATGCATCTTCGTGGAGAACCAATCGGATTGTCGGCAGGAGGATTGGCAGTGATAAACAGATCACTTGTACTCTCGGTATGAATTTACCCAAATTTAGTTTTTGACAAAACTACCAATAAAACAAAAACTGTCGACAAACGCAGAGCCAGAGCAAAATGGAGCAATAACTAGTGATTTAACTAAGTCGTATTCATAAACTTAAAACCTTCGGGTAGGCTGTTGCGACTGATCCATCGTGTGTTAATGAGTATCAGGGGCGGAGCATGCTACAATTTATCGACACAAAAATAATAACAAATTTCAAAAGTGAGTAGTTTAAAACAGTTAATGTAATCATGCACTTCTCGTTCACAGATGTCCTTGTTGTATGTTGGTGTGCATCTTCTCATTCTAAAATTTTTTTTTATATTTGGTGACCTGCATGCAATATCATTTCGAAACTAAGAGACAGCCCGGACCCTTCTAAGAAACGGCGTTAAGAGCTTAATGGCACTGACCCACAACTAAATACTTTAAAGGAAACGCCCCAGCTGAAGCGATCAAGCATTTTTAGTTTTACTATCGAAGATCGTGTAGGAGAAGCATATTTAATCGTTCAGCGAATTATTTCAATGATGTCTAAACCTGATTTGCATAAAAAGTGTACTGTATAGACTCTGAAGTGTTTTACTTCCCAAAACTAAACATTTTACAGTAATAATCTAATAGACATTTTTTGTTTCATTGCAGCTCGTCGGGATAATCATCTCATACTTCGCAGTGCTCATAACTTTGCCAAGTTAAATCAATCGTGATCTTCTTCCTCGTACATACAGGCTTCCTCTTCCATGTCTGGTTTATGCGGAAATTATATATCACACGTCTCGAGGACTCTACTCCCAACTGGTAGTAATGAAAGCCCAGCAATGAACGCTTGTTTTTTTTTTTGTTTTTGTTTTTTTTCATTTTTTTGATGATTACCAAACGATATCTTTACATATAATTAACGGCAATAATACATTCTACAATGTACAAATTTTAATCTTTCAGTTTATGATATCAGTTTTGAGATTGCTCTGAGAGTAATAGATAAACTGAATTACTCTAGAATTTCGCTGATTCGTAGGTTAAATTAATCGACGCTCAATCGACGTTGCGCTAGGCTTCGACGATATGCTGTCGTTCTAGCTATAAGCTCCCTAATATTACTACAAAAGTAGTAAGCCTACAGGTAGCCCCTGTTGAACGTTAATCCAGGATTTAATTTCTATTTTTTTAAAAGTGTTTTTCATTGATAATGGCTTTTTGCAGTTTGAGATTAGTCGAGGCTAAAACATATAACCAGAAATCCTCCAAAAATCCCCCCCCCCCCCCCCAAAAAAACAACAACAACAACAACAACAACAACGACGACGACGACTGACGATATAATTCTGGGCTGGCTTCATCATCAGCCGAAAGCGTATGTTTTGTTAGTATTCTGAGCGCCGTAGTACAATTAACGGAATGATTAATACGCATGGGCTAATACGCCGCCATTTCCATCAAACGTAGGGCTATCTAGCTGTCCCTTACTACCTACCGTCATAAAATCCGCTTCCAAAGCTAAAAACACGTAAATATTATTGTAGAGAAATTTGGAACATCGAATCCGTTTTAAGGGCAAGGTTGCTGCACATTTCAGTAAATTACAAGCGTATGTCAAAGCGCCCTCTTTTCTGACAGTTAATGCGTAGTGTCGCTTTAAATGTTCCGCAACATTTTTTTTTTTTTAAGAAAAAATAATGCGGGGTAGAACTGTCCTCATCATTGAAGGAGTTCAGTCACAGTGTATGACGTATTTTGGCCACGTACTAAATTACCTTTAAATTGAATGAAACCTGAAATAGTAGTTTATTAAGATAGAAACGCACCAACGAGATTATACAAACAACTGCTTAAGTTGTGTGTATAACTGCGATGATCAACCATAACGCCTTCATAATTAAAAGGAATATAATCACTTCGTAGGAAAACAGTAATCTATCGAAGCTATGAAATTGTCCTTTTTTTTCTATATTATCACTTGAAATTGAGCGATTAACTGATTATAATCTAGAAGAGACCTTGCGAGTTTTGGAGTTTTCCGTCCAGTTCAGGAATTGCATTTATGGCTCGTCTTGTCTTACGAAAATAACGTTATCTCAACTCAGTGTCAATGCCTGATGCATAGCTAACCCTGTTTTTTTTAAGAGAAAAACTGATGCCACTCCTTCTACTGGGCGCTTTCATCATTGGAACTCATAAATTATATCTAGTTTATTTAAAGTTTAAAAAGGAAAAGAAAACAAAGTTAAAATAATTGTATTAAGCGTCAGAGAGTAATACATGAGCGTGTTCGCCCTGAATAAGGCCACGGATCGCTGTGTATCCACAGCCGCCTCGTTATGAAACATAATGACCCTCATGAGATAAATCCCTTAATAACATCTGTCGTTAGTCCCCCTATAGAGGACAAAAAAATAGAAAAACAGGATGCTATGTGCTAGAATCCACTCCCACAATTCTTAAACCCTTTGGATGATCAACGTCCGTCAGTTAACGCAGTAAACTCTTTTCTAAATTAAGACGATTCATTTTGCATATTGCTGAAGTGTCCTAGTTTTGGACGAAGGCTAACTTTCGAAGGACTGTACAGTAGAATCTGCGGAGCCTACGTTACAATGATCCAAATGAGACTGTTCTTAACATGACCTTTATTCGTTTCATAAGTTAATAAAAACGTAAATCGTCAACTTAATGACAATGCCTTAGTTTTCCTGTTTGCAATTGAAGAAAAAAGTCGATTATTTGCTAGTAAACATAGTTTTGGAGTTGGTACACCTTGCTGCCTTTACTTAGCTTCAAAGTAAACTATCTGCAAATTCTGTAACACTGACAAAAAAGAGGTAAAGTGTTTTAAATTCCTTGTTCCTTGTAACTGGAGTAAGGTTTGTATAATGTACAACGTTTGATTAAAGCGCTTGCGCGCAGTTGCGAGGAAGCACAGTGGCGCCATTGTTTAATTTAGATTAAATGACTTTCCATTTGCTACCACTGTAATTTTACAGCTCTTATTTCAGTCCCAGATCAAGATGGGTAAATAATGAACACAAGGCTCCGCAATATATTGTCAAAGTCTTGTTTTTAATCACTCAGTTCATTCTACAGTGCAGTGATAGCAATCTTAACGTTTTGGTTGTTATTGTTGTTGTTGTTAATCTGGATGTCTGCTTGTTATTATTAATTTTTTTTGTTATTATTATTATTATTTTCCTTTCCCTGCTCAAATAATTTTAAGAGTATTTGCACCACATTAATACCCTTTGCACGTCATTCCTTTGTATCTACGGGTGTAAAGAGTAAACTATTGAAGGCAACGGGAAAATTTCAATTGATTGAGGAAGATTGAGAGTTGCATTTCACTCCATGGATGTGCCTCTTCTTCCCCTTTTTACTTCGCGCTTGCTACCTCTATAAAATACCTCTATAAAGTATATATATTTTAGGAACGTCAAAGAACAAATTTATCCTACCATTCACAATGAAATTTGCTGAAAACACATTTTGAGTTTTTAGTAGAGATAAATGACCATAGTGTTATTTTTTGATTAAGAAATATATTTTTTTAAAAATTACTTCTGGGGTTTTTTTAATTAAGATCACCTCCAGCCACGATTCTGCGTCCAATTTCCGAACATCAATTACATTTAAGTTTTGACAGTTGAAAGGCTTTTATTGTTTTTCATTTTAGCTAGTTGACCTTGCGCCTTTTCATGTTTCTTATTGCAAAAATAATTACTTTTTACTGTTTTGAAGACGATTTTAATTTTCCAGGAGAAGTACGTAAACGTTTTCAAAAATCTGTTTAGCATATCCCTCTTTCAGTAGTATATCAGTTTCGCATTTCCAATGTTTTGTTTTGAGTTTTCTGGAGTGAAAAAATGTAGTGAAGTTTGGGGTCAATTTAGTGCTGCTAATGAAAAAAAAAAAGTCCGGAAGGGTGTTAATTGATATCCCGCAGAACATTACTTATGAAAACAACTATATGCGTGAGAAAAGAGAGCTATTGGACATCCTTTAAAGAAAGTCACAGGCAGCGTTATTTTTCTTTCAACAGTGATATAAAAATGTTAGTCACAGGGACAGTTCTGTATGCAGGTGATTCGCGTCAATGGAGATCATCCCTCGTCGCCGTATAAAACCTAACGATGCCGCGAATAGAAAACCTTGAAATGGAAGAGATACACGAAGCGTCTCAGGCAAGCGAACTTGGAACAGAACTGGACAATTGCAATAATCGTCGCATGGAAATTTCGTACAGGCTTCGTCCTATTTTGAAGATGATGAAACTGGCTGGAGAGTTTTATGGTGACTCGTCCTTCTTGGAAACTCCACAAGGGGGCTCAAACTGTTTTTCGCGATTTTACTGTGCAAGTGTGTTGCTGGGACAGTGCATCATCTTTGTACAAGCAGTCGTGAGCATTTTCTTTGAAGGTTTTACCCAAATGCAAAATACTTACTTTTTACTGACGTTTAGCATTTGGTATTTAGAATGCATGGGAACTAACATCATATGCCTTTTTGTTTTGCCTAAATCCCAGAAACAGCCATCGCGTTTGTCAAAACTTGTTAGCAACTTATTCACAAAAGAATCTGATCTTAGTGGACAGAGCAAGCGAAGGCTGAGTACCCTTTTGGCTATAGCATGCTGTGCCGTCGCCTTTAACTCTATTTGCCTCGCAGCTCTAGATTTTTACCGATGTATCTCGGTAGCGCGGTTTCAACCGTGGAATGGATTGTTGGCATACCGCTTGCTTCACTTAGTATTTGGTGCTTTTAACTCGTTTGCATGGGTATTACCAGGGTTGTTGTTTTGTGTCGTATGCACGGTTTTGTCAGGAATGTTTGAGAATTTGCACAAGAAGTTATCCACGCAGAATTCCACTTCTATCAACATTGGATGGCTGAGGCAGGAGCATCACAAACTCTGTGAAACAGTTGCTTTGGCCGATAAAGTCTTTTCGCCGTACCTCTTTATTGTAATGTCCCTGCATATTCCTCTTATTTGCTTCAATTTTCATCAGTTGTTAAAGAATTCAAATGAAGATGACGTATCTTACATCATTACTGTTCTTTACTGGTGGATGGGCCTGTCGGGGGAAGTCGCTCTTATCCTTGTGTTTGGAATAAGAGTCAATGAGAAGGTGAGAGCACGGTTGGTTATGTTCAGTAAGCTCGCCTTTACCCTGTCTTTTTTGCAACCTGCAGAAAACTAGCTATTTATTGCGGTAACAGCTGTTCCTGTCAAATCTTGTTGTCGTTGTTTTATTCTAGCTGCAAGCAAGTGTTGTTGTTGTTGTTTTACTTTACGTAACCGTTGTTCTCGGCCATGCTTTAAATTTCTTGCGGTGGGTTTTTGAATACCACCACATTTCATGCCATATATAAATCTGTCCTTTTCTTACTGGTTCCACTGGTAATGGTAACAGAAAAAACAAACAAACAGACTTATATAGCGTATCTTAACCATATTGGACTGTTAAGTATGATCCTTGCTGTAAATTTTATCGAGACCTGCTAAACAGAAGACAAACCCACCAAATATGTCGAGACCCGAACAACAACTAAATTATAATTATGCAACAAAAATATTCTGCGATAAGAAGGCATTTGACTTACTAATAATATGTTTATTATCCGACTGATTTTAAACTGGTTATAAAACGAAGAACGCACACGGTTACGATTTCTGTGGCAATCTTTTAACTAACTTAACAAGCTTACAACAGCAGTATATATTTTTATATATATATTCGGTATACTTCGAGGCCATAGTTAATAGAGTGAAATTGCTATGAAACTCAACAAAAATTCTGTGTTGTATGTTTTTCTTCTCTTTTTTCGCCTTAACCGTGCACAAAACACAATAGTTGTTTACTACTGACCTAGGAATCAACCAATAGAAATGTTTTGGTTAGGTAACTCATGCAAAGTGTATGAGCGCAAATCAAAAGATTGCGCACAGTTTTGGACCTTCCAACATAAATCTTGGCATCTTTGTTTTCTCCTTTGATGTTTTCCGGGCTTCATAACCAGTCCCATCTATTAACTATGTTCCAGGCGCTTTATTTGTACCACTGATTCAGCGATTTATTTTGTACTGTAGTTGTGAAATGAATATTTTTTTTTCTTAGATTCACAGTTTCTATGACACCATTTATAATGTAGGCACACCAGACAAAAAAGAGCATCTGCAGGTACGTATAATTATGTTGCCCGTCACTACAATTCCTGTGACATATACTGTGATTACTTTTAATGTGAAGTAACTGCGGGATTGTAGAGTTTTGTAAACTTTGATGAACCACCATGTGTTGATATTTCATCATCACGTGCTCCGTAATTTAGCTCCAATAGCACGAACTTCCATGTATATTATATTATATCGACAGATCGAAATCCAGTTGTTCATAATTTTTTCAGCTATTGCAATTCCTGATACATCTTGGTGGAGAGCCAATCGGATTGTCCGTAGGAGGATTGGTAGTGATAAACAAATCTCTTGCTCTCTCGGTATGTTCCAAACGAATATATTTTGATTTAAGTATTTTGTTTTCTTTTCTTTTCTTTTCTTTGTTTCATTCTCTCCTTCTCCCCCCCTTTTTATCTCCATTTGTCTCTTTCCTCCTTTCCCTCTTTTTTTTTAATTTCCTTGATTTCTTTGTTTAATATTCAAAGACTTGATAAAGCACACTTCATATGTGTTCAAATGTACCGTCTCTAGCTATATTATATCTTAGAATTATCTATTTTGATTTGATTACATTTCAGATTGTAGGAATTATCATCTCATACCTTGCAGTGTTGTTGACTCTGCCATCTTAAAATTGAAGATCAGCCTGGAATGATGAACATCAAACAAAAACGACAACAACAACAATGACAATGACCAAGGCGACGATTCTTATTTCTTTCTACATGGGTTCAAATTACATTCAAATAAACCTCTCATTTGCTGTATTACTTTACGATACGTTTCGCACAGGCCCTATTTACTGGCATTAAATTTGATATATTACACGAGAAAAGAAAGTAACAATACATGGCAATGCGTTGCTCGCGATACGCTTGGTATTTACTTAAGATATAAGCTATTTACACCACTTTTATTAAATTAGAAAATAAAACATTATAACTTTAATAATGTTAGTTTCCTTTCATTACATAACATAATATTGTCTTTACTATATATTTTAATGCTCTTTTTACGCTTTATGTACTCTTTTATACTTACAAGACGCTTTCTATTACATCAAAATTCATTTAGTACTGTTATGCAGTCCTTCCTGATCTGAATACTATTACTTGACAATGTTACAAAAGGTTGACGGGGTTTTTCGATAAAAGCCTGATGTGGCAATGATTTACATCTCCTCAATTTTTTTTTTTTTTTTTTTTNAACATAGTTTTGGAGTTGGTACACCTTGCTGCCTTTACTTAGCTTCAAAGTAAACTATCTGCAAATTCTGTAACACTGACAAAAAGAGGTAAAGTGTTTTAAATTCCTTGTTCCTTGTAACTGGAGTAAGGTTTGTATAATGTACAACGTTTGATTAAAGCGCTTGCGCGCAGTTGCGAGGAAGCACAGTGGCGCCATTGTTTAATTTAGATTAAATGACTTTCCATTTGCTACCACTGTAATTTTACAGCTCTTATTTCAGTCCCAGATCAAGATGGGTAAATAATGAACACAAGGCTCCGCAATATATTGTCAAAGTCTTGTTTTTAATCACTCAGTTCATTCTACAGTGCAGTGATAGCAATCTTAACGTTTTGGTTGTTATTGTTGTTGTTGTTAATCTGGATGTCTGCTTGTTATTATTAATTTTTTTTGTTATTATTATTATTATTTTCCTTTCCCTGCTCAAATAATTTTAAGAGTATTTGCACCACATTAATACCCTTTGCACGTCATTCCTTTGTATCTACGGGTGTAAAGAGTAAACTATTGAAGGCAACGGGAAAATTTCAATTGATTGAGGAAGATTGAGAGTTGCATTTCACTCCATGGATGTGCCTCTTCTTCCCCTTTTTACTTCGCGCTTGCTACCTCTATAAAATACCTCTATAAAGTATATATATTTTAGGAACGTCAAAGAACGAATTTATCCTACCATTCACA